GATTCTTAACCGCCACTACACGGCAGTAATTTTTAGCTTAGCGTTCTTTATTCGATCGCTCTCAGGGCCGGAAAATGTTATAAAAAACGGATGCAAAATATAAAAACTTGTATGCGAGCCCGTGTGTACTCAAAAATATTAGTATTCCTACATCCCTTGGAAGGGAAGCACTTTAAAGATGTTCCTTTATCTCATTCTGAAGAGCTAGGTTAAGAATTAGTACCCACATGTTAAACATAATATTACGTTTTTAGTTAAATACTTTACTGATAATAAATAATAATACAAATATGATAAAGATGTTTTATTTTCTCCGAACATGAAATACAGTAACATAGGAAATCCAAATCAAATGAGTCTCATAACGTTAAGCAAGGTCCGAGACACAATACATATAAATAAGCCTAAAATACTCATTTTTTTCGGTACCGAAATTATTTCGGTAAAGGTATTAGTAAAATATAGGTATAACGATACCGTAAAAAAATATAGGTATAATTCTTTTTTTTAACGGTACCACAACCGTAATTCTCAACCGTTTTGGTTCTACCTTTAAATCGAAGCTGTATCGTAATTCTATACCGGTACCATACCCTTATACCTTTACCGCTTTCAACCCCTGAAATAAACCTTTTTAGGTTTTATGTTGTTGTTAATGAGGGACAATGTGGATCATAAAAGAAGAAATTACTAAACACATACAAAAATTTTTTTAAAGAAATTGCTACCTAAGTTATTAACTGGTAAAAGTAAAAATCGTTGTGATTGTTCACATGACTGACTATGCATTCCAGACGCCACCCTCTGTTCGGAGGGCCGTTAGACAACATCCATGTGTACAATACACAGTCATAGGAGTTCTTCCTACGCAAGTAATGATGCTATGTAATATAAATACACCCCTTTTATTGCTGAGATCTGTTTTGAAATCTGTGAAGTTGTAAAAGCCAAAAGGTTAACAGCACTAACATCACAGAAACTAGACTGCATTTCAGCTTAGTAATACAGTTGACCCCCGGTAATCTGACAAACATTTTGTAGGGCAGTGTTGAACTATCGTCAGATTATAGAGTACTGTTTAAGACCACCTATAGTACAGATTTTTTATAAATGAGTACCTTGTAATCCGACAAATTACAGATCCAATGATAAGATTCTATATGTTATAATACATATATGTTATATACATATATGTTATAAACATATATGTTATATACATATATGTTATATACGGGTATTTTTGAAACGCTCCCGAAAACGAAGACAAGTACCAACGATACCTTTGGACTTGGGATCAAAAAGGAAATGGATACCAATGAAAAAAATCATCTTTTCACAACGTTTTATTAGCTTTATTTCCGCCCCATCATGTTAGTACAGCTAAATGAAACAATAATTTCATAAATTTTTTTTGAAAATACTGAAAAATAAAACCAGCAGTGAAAATTAAAATGATACCAGCTTTCATCAAACTTCACAATCAAATTTCACTGCTGGTCGTTTTCGGGAGCGTTTCACAAACACCCGTTATATGTACTCTGAAGTACAACTCATACTTCATTATGTATGTCAAATTAATAAATTAACCATATAACCGCCCGACTTCAAATCATTTGTCGTGCCCCGAGCGCCCGACAGATGAATCATAAAATACAACATTAAAGAGAGATGTTCCGTTATAATATCGATATTTGCGAGCGTTTAGTCTACCGGTCGAGTATCTAACTAACGACTACCTAAATACTACTTATTTTTTGATATTATCAGGTAAAATATTATCAGTTAAGCCAGTAAAACAAAAAACCTTTAAAGTATCTTAAACGATTAATAATAAGTAATTATGCTATTAACAACTATTTTCCTCAGAATAAAATCAGTCCAGAGATAAACCTCTTCATTTTTATTTCTCAATAGTTAATTATTATTTTGAGCAATATATATTTTGAATATAGTATTTTGGAATACAGTACTATATAATTGTGTTCTTTAACCTTTTAAGCGCTTGGCTTGGCTAAATGCCCCTAGCGCGTGACTACAAATTGATAAAATATATAGGGTGACAAACGAGCACACAGTCCACCTGATGGTAAGTGGATACTGTGGCCCATAAACATCTACATTTATCCTCAAATAAGAATCAAAATACAGATACGTTGTCATTGATGACTAAGATGGAATGTCTCGTTTCTAGTAAAATGGGTCTCCGGTTCTCTATACTCAATATACGAGACACAGCAGCATTAAGCAGCTGTTTCACGATGATATTCGATGAGAGCGTGGTTACCATTAATGGAAATTTGTAGAAAATATTATAAAAAATAACCTAAAATTATTAATTCTAAAATATTAAAAAATTATAAAGAATAATAAAAAATAAGAAATATTCTAAAAAATGTGAACAACATTAATGGAAATTTCCACTTGTTTGATCCGCTTGTGACATAGGCAATGGTCGTATTATAACGACAGCCGCGCTAGACTTACTAGAGAAATGTGTTGGGCAGGCAATGCGTAATGCGTAAAGCAAAGGCGTCTAGGAATAGGAACTAACGTCAAATGTTGTCATTATACAAAGAGCCTGGGAGATATTTTTCTTATGAATAATAAGGAAAAGAATTAATAACACAAGGTAATACGTCAAATAAACTTTATTTCGTATGACACTGTTTATTTTATGCTGAATGATGCATTATACCTGATTATTGAACTGTTTGTTATTTCGTTTTTAAAATGCGCATTGCATTGTATCCCATTCCTATGGTCATATGTATGCGACGCGCGCGATAGAAACCGAAGGAAAGTCCAAGCTGCCAATTACTTATTTTTGATTAAACTTTTTCAATACTTGACGCTTGAGCTACGAGAAATAATTTTAAGTAATTGTTGTAAATAATATCTCTATTTAATAATGGTTTTAGTTGTACCACGCAGTTAATACGACGAAAATAGAATGCAAAACTCATGCAGTTCTCTGTTGCAGAAATATAACACAAGCGGTCAAAAGGTTAAACAACACAATAGAGCTTACATTTTATTATAAAATTAATGTCATTAATGCTGTAGAACTTACAAAAAATATGCAATAACTTTACATTAGGAAATAATTGTGTACAAACAAATGTACATACTAATATAATCAAAAATTATGAATCAATAAATTTAAGAGCGTTATCAAGAAGCAATAATGCTTTTTGAGGAAAATTATGATCTTTCAACCATTTTCAGAATCAAAACAATACCCTAAACATCAAGCACAATAGTGGTGGTGCATACAAGTTGTAACTTGTCCAATCATGCATTAGCAAAGATTGTCAAAAAAAAATTCTATAATAAATAATAGACCATGTCAGATTACAGGGCGTGCCGGATTACCGGAGGTTTACTGTATTGTTACTACAATCGTATCAGTGATTTCTTGTACATAACATAGATCAATTCTTTGAAATATTGTAGTAGAGCTAAAGTACAGGGTGGACCAAAAGTTCGTTAACTTTTGAATCGGTAGCTGCGTCGGGGAGCGGCGGCGGGGCGGGGCGGCGGGGTTACGAAATGAAAGAGCGGCCGATGGGAATTTAGTGCCATGGCGTCCTTCACCGGAGCACAACGTGCGTTCTGCGTACGCGAATATTACAAAAATAACGATTCTTTGACAATATCGCAACGAAAATATTGTAATCATTACAATATACGCCATAAAAATGAAGCTCCATCGATTCAGTTGATTAAGAGTTGGGTAAAGAAATTCGAAAAGACAGGTTCAACATTAAAACAACCAAAATCCGGCCGACCTAGGACATCAAGAGATCCCGAAAATGTGGAACGTGTAAGAGCTTCCGTTAGTGAACAACCGAGACTCTCTACTCGAAAGCGGTCTAGCGTCTTAAATGTGCCCAGAATGTCTTTAAACCGCATTCTTCATAAAGATTTACGTTTTCATCCGTACAAAATCCAAATGGTACAGGCATTAATGCCTCAAGATCATGCTACCAGGCTGCAGTTTGCCAACAAAATGCTAGAGAGGTTTACCAGCTTTACCAACATTTTTTTCTCAGACGAGGCACACTTTCTTGTTAACGTGGATGTCAACAGGCAAAATTGCAGGTATTGGAGTGACAATACTCCAAAATTAAAGCATCAAAAACTCCTGCATTCACCCAAGGTTACTGTATGGGCAGCTTTGTCAGCAAGAGGCATTATTAGTCCCTACTTCTTTGAAGACCAAAGGGGACGCACTGTTACAGTGAATACAGAGCTGTATATTGTCATGTTACAAAACTTTTTTGCTCCCTCGCTACAAACTTTTGATGGTTTTAATCAACGATCGTGGTTTCAGCAAGACGGGGCAACAGTCCATCATTGAGTGCAGTTCGAGAAATTTTCGGCCAAAAAGTGATATCCAAAAGAGGCGACATTAACTGGCCTCCTCGCAGCCCGGATCTGTCCCCAATGGATTTTTTTCTCTGTTGCGGAATTGAAGCAACGTGTTCGCGAGGAAATGCAAAACGTTTCTCGGAACACTTGTCAGGCCGTCATTGAAAATTTTCGCTCCAGGTTACAGCAATGCCAAAATAATGAAGAAACATATGGATGATGTAATTTTTAAAAAATAAATTCCCTTTTTATGTGTTTTCATAATTAATAAATGCTTTTCACCTGATGTAATTAGTTTTCATTTTAATTTAGTTTGAAAAGTAAAAAAACTTATGGCCCAGCCTGTATATGTAAAGGATGTGTACTGGCAATATAAGAGAATCCTTATCATCTAGTGGCTATTGAATGAGGTGACAAGTTCATTACTAAAATAAGCTTCCTTAAACAAACGCCACGAAACATTGACCTGAGTCACCTGCATCAATCAACTTTCTGCATGTCTTACCACTTCACTTACAATAATCTTTTAATATAAAAAGAAACTTCAAATAGTTTAAATATAAGAACATATTATTTTAATTAATTATTTTACTACCTATGCAAGATAAATGATTCACAATAAAACATACCTGAAAATGAAGAATAAGCTCCCTAGAGTAAATAGTAATGCAAATTTTCTGGCTTTTAGTAATAGTAGTGGTATATATAGGAATGAAAGAATAAAGCATAATATACCAAGGAACAAACAAATACCGAAGCCCAAGAATCTTTGTGTCCGACTCTGAAAAGAAATTGTTATTGTTTAGAGGCATGATAATGAATTACTTACTTAACTTCACGCACAATCCCTAACGGGGTAGCCAGAGAGAACAGATCGCCAAGTGTCATGATCCTTACATACCTCTTTCAGGTTCATTATCTTCTTCATACATGCACGTCTAGGTATCCGAGTACTCTTGACCTTCCCCTCTTCGAGTAATTTGCTCACATGGTCTTTGAAAGTTAGTCTCGGTCTACCTCGACACCTTTTAATATTTACTTTCGCGCTATATATTTTCTTCACCATTCGGTCTTCACTCATTCGCTCAACGTGCCCAAACCATTGGAGTATGCCCCTATCAATTTTTGTGATAAGGTCATCTTTTAATCCTGCCATATTGCGAATCTCTTTGTTTCGCTTTCGGTCGACTATGGTAACACTGCACATTTTGCGAAGAGATCGCATCTCCACTGCATTCAACTTGCTTTTATGCTTCTTCTGGCGTACCCAGGTTTCGCTGCCACATAACAAAGTCGGTACCAACACTGCGTTATGTATTGCAAGGCGTGCACTCTTCACTACGCCTTGCCTTTTGACTAATGCATTCAGGGCACCATTGACTTTGTTCCCGGCAGCGACACGCCTGTCCACATCTAAATCACATCTTCCATCCCGGCTGAAAGCACTCCCCAAGTATACAATTTCATTTACCTGTTCTAGACATTCCTGATTTACCCATATTTCAAATTTCGTTCTCTCTTCGTCCTTTTCAAATACCAGAACCTTAGTTTTATTAGCATTCAAACGGAGACCTTTAATTTCACATTGCTCTTTCATACACGTGACTAATGCCTGCAGCTCTGCTTCTGATGGTGCATTAAGCACTGCATCATCAGCATACAGCAGACAATTTACTTTAATGTCACCAAATTTCACACCCAAACAGCTATTTTTCAGCTTCTGTAAACAGCTGTCAAGATACCGTATGAACAGCCAGGAAGAGATGACACAACCCCGTTTTACACCCGCTTGGACGCTAAACATGGGTGACAGGTCATGCCCTATCCGAACAAAGGCTTTACAGTCATAGTAAAGTGACTGCACAGCCCTTTAACAATCGACCATCCACACCATATTCCGGCAACAGTTCCCACATTTTCTTCCTTATAACCTTATCAAATGCTTTCTCCAGATCCACAAAAGCACAGAAAATCCTCTGGTTAACAGCCAGAAGCTTTTCCGTGAACACGCAGAGCGAAAACATTTGATCCGTGCATCCTCTTCCAGGTCTAAATCCGCATTGCACCTCCCATAATAATCTTTCCGATTTCTCTAGCATCCTACGTGTCAAAACCTTCAAGTAAACTTTACTTGCTAAACTGGTCAAGGTTATCGCCCGATAGCAACCGCAGTCAAAATGTGAACCTTTACCTTTATATAAAGGCACAATGACCGCGGATCGTCAGTCATCCGCGACACCTCTCATCCAGCACAAATTGCACAGCAGATGAAAGCTGTCCCAGACGCGAGGCCCACCGTACTTGACCATTTCAGCAGTAACTCTGTCTAGTCCCTCAGCCTTACCACATTTCAAACTTCTAATCGCACATTCAATCTCATTCATGCTGATGATCTCAGTGTCATCGAGGTCCGTGTTTGGCGTGCCAGTTACGGCGTCACCCCCGGATCCTTCACTAAGATCATGACACGCATACATTTCTCTATAAAATTCGCTCCATCGCTGCATGACGTCCGATTTTTATGAGAGGACATTGGTTTTCGAAAGCACTTTGCTCATTCTTAATAATGAATTGTATGTATATTTTATATTTTTACATTTGAGGATTCCTTGTTTACTATAAAAATTCTAAATTTAGATCAATTCCTATAACAACAGATAAAAATAGCGATTGTAACATTATATATTACATACATTTTATCTTTTCACTATCTCTCCTCTCTCTCTATTACATTCTACTTTTCGAAACAAAACATTAATTGTTTGAATTGTTGATTTAGTAATCTTTTGAGGCTTACCAAAGTAAAATATTCCTTTTGTACACTCTGAAACCAAGTACTCGTGGTACTGGTACTAGTAGGAGTTTCATCGTTGCTTCGAGAGAAGAAACTTGGCGTTGAGAATGACGGTAATCCAAATTTGTAACTTCTTCGATTTTCGTTTTGCAACAAGTAGTCATCCAAATCGGATTTTAAATTTGCCATTGTTACGATTATCTAAACGTTTATCTTTTCTTTGTTTTCTATCAATACGATTATGAAAATGTTATAGTTCATAGGTAATATGATATGACTTCCTGAAAAACTCGATTATGAAGTTAAAAAACAAAAACTGTGACACAAAATATCATTTGCATCCGAAGTTTGCATCACACTTGAAGAATGACAGTTGAAAGCTGACAGTTAATATGACATTTGTCAGCCCTTATTTGGTGATGGACACTTATACTTTGGCCAGTGTAAAGTAATAGGAAATTATCCTTCATAAATTGTTCAAAAACTTCCATACAAAATGATGACGCATCAAATTGCAGTATTTTTTGAAATTTCAACGGCAGCATAAGTCAGCAGACAGTCGATCAAGACTATATCTAAAGTTGTCCAGGCGCATAAACGAATAAACTAATTTGAAATTAATATCAACATATGCATTCCACCGAGTCAGTAATTCATTCTTGGGGCGATGTATACGCTTTTACAACAAAATCCCAGAAAATATACAAAATTTGTCATACGCAAAGTTCAAAAATTTTATTAAACTAAGTTTGTATAAAAAGGGTTATTATAATATTAAGGAATTTATGGATGATAGTAACCCCTGGGAAGGGTGATCGCTACCAAGGTATTTCTAATTTGTGTTGTGTTGTTAATTGTAAACATGATTGTAAGCTATTATTTGAAAAAAAAAAAATAGTCCCGCTGGGTTTCTTGCTGGTTCTTCCCAGGACAGAGGTTTTTTTTGCGAACCAGTAGTAAATGAAAAAATTGACTTTCAATAAGTATTGCTTATAATCTACATTGAATAAAAAAGTTTCTGTTTCTGTTTCTGTTTCTGCACTTGTTTCGTCGTTTCCACTAATAGCTCACACGTACTGACACTTAATAATCACAAAATTGAATTAATTTTACGTTATAAATGATAAAAGAGGACGAATAATCTGGCGAAGTTTAAGTTGTCAAAATATTGAGTGTTGGAAGCATTCGACATAATCACTACGAACTGGCATTGTAGACTGGTAGGTTAGTGATCGTATGCATCACTGTACTATGACTATAGACTGTAATACGCCTATTATTTTTTTCTAGCTAGTAACGATGTGAATGAAGGTCATTAGATCAAGGATAATATTATGAATGTATTATTATTTTAACAATAAATTTTTTGACTAAGAAAATTAATATATTTCATTGTCGCTTTTGGATCAAATTTCACAATATATAAATGGTCATCCATGCAGGTAAAAATATTGCTTACTTCTGTACTTGTGTCTGTCTGACATCTGCTAGGACATTACGAATAAATGACAAATAACTTTATTTTAAATGCGTACCATAATCAGTGTCGTCACTGAAGTCTTCGTGTGCATGTCGACGTACATTGTTATTGTATCGGTCATGCGCACAGGGCGGGCACACACCGCGCGTGTCTCGTTCATCCAAGTCAGTACTACTCGCATCAGAGTCTACTTCGGTTTCTTCGATATGTATGTCTTCTGACGGTCTCTTATTGAATTCCTCATTTGATGAAAGCTGGTTGTAATTCTTTCGCAGCGGTCGGGGCTCTGAAAATAAAATAAAAAAGGTTCGGGTTACGTTTTCGTCTGAATTTTGCTGTGTTGGATCTTATGTGTTTAAAATTTCAAGGAACTTGTTTTTAAAGGTTTGTTCATCAAATTTTAGACAAAACAAAGAACAGGACGCTGCGTCAGTCCCAAGAGGTTAGGATGGAAACCTTATTGTTAGTTATTATATTTTCTCTCGATACTTTTACCGGAATACAATAGTGGCTGCACCGATGGTTCTTCTTCAACAATCCGTAAACGTCCACTGCTGGAACTTTTTCGTTGTAGAGAATATTTTAATGCTATGGCATTGCTGTTTAGTTTTAAAAAAAAGAGTATGACTTCTACCTAAACTCTTAAATTGTAGATTCCATAGTGGAAAAGGAGCGCTAAAGACATCACCAACAAGCTCGTTTTGTGCTATTATAAAAAATGTTGAGTGGTAATGTAGGTACTTGTAATATTTTCTCGTATTAAATTCCATAACACTGGTACTTTAAGCGTTTTATATTATCAGTTTTTGTCGTTGAATTGTGATTATTCAGTCTTAAATCGGATGCCTATGGGGGCCGCGGTCATGCTGTTTTAACTTGAATGAAAAAAAGTGTTCTCATTATTATGAGAATAGTAGTGTTACACATTAATAAATAATACCACTCAACCACAAATTCGGTTTATGATTCGATTCATCGGCATCACCTTTAAATGCCGATTTACTACATGCTATACGGTAAAAACAGATAACATGAGGAAGGCATGTGTGATAAATTATAAATATTTCGAGAACATGAGAACTCGCCAACACGCATTAGATAAACGTGGTGAACAGTTTCCTGTTGCAAAAAGTGTTTAATAAATGAGGGGAAGGCTGTGTCGAGTGGAGGGGTCGAGAATATCTGACTCGAGTTAACTAGAATTAGTAAATCGAGATGACCCATCACCAGTATCCTACTAGTACTCTATAGGCTTTATTCTTCGATTTCTCTTCCTTGCTTTAAGTAATTCAATTTTTTTTACCAAAAGATATCTAAATCGGAGTTCATCGTCACTTTCAGTGTACCTTTCCAATCCATTCGATTACAGCTCAAACGAAGGCCACAGAATATTCGGTTTTCCGTGTATGACCGGATATACTATTAGTTGCAAGTCTAGTTGAAAGTAATTGTAATAAGGATTTTTTGCAATTTATCATCACTGATTTGTTGGATCGGTATATAAAGAATAATGTATTTACTAACATAATCAAACATTTTACAAGTAAACACGTTAATATCATAATATAATCAATACAGTTCCAACGTATTTGTTATCACGTTGATAAAATGGGGACAAGTTACATAAGTTGTTAAGCTGGCTTATATTATCTCCTATGTGTCATTTATATCTTGAGTCTTTAATCAAAATGAAAAATGATTTAGTGCTTTGACGTGAAGAGGAGCGTAGTGTTGTCACATAGCATCAGCACTGATATCATAAAAAATTGTAGTTACTGTATTTAATGAAATTAAATTGTAAACGGTTAGTTATTGATTGACAAGGAAAAGAAAGTAAGTAAGAAAGTAAGATTTATTGTTTCTGCTTTCTTTTAATTTAGTAAAATCCTAACGTTTTGATATTTTTTTAACAATGGCGACAATTTTTACGGGCCGTGTTATGTAAGATACAATCAAAGACATATAAGTAGTAGTAGTAATAAACCGGACATTAGAAACAAAATTGTAACCTGTTACTTTTGTCCTATACGATATTTTTCGAACTTATGCCATTTTATTCTTAGTGACATTGTCAAAAGGTCAAGACGCGTTAGTTCCCTAAATTAAGAAAAAATATTTTTAACGATAATATGCCGAATGTGCATTAAAGTAAATATTGTAAGTCCAAATATGGAGCAAAAACTGAATGTGATTTCCGTTTATTATCGCAAGTATAATGTACATATTTATATTTACACAATAATTTTTAAATTTGGTCATTCTGGTAGATTTTTCTAGAACATCTATCATTATTGTAATAAGTGCCCTCTGTTATCCAGTAACCACAATATTTATTAACCAAATGAGTTAGTGATTGACAACGTTTATCGATTGGTGCTATTGATAAAATATTATACAGGATGCCGATTTAATGATCTGCAATGTTTAAGGAGGTGAAACAGAAAATGATACTGAATCCATACCAATGAGGAATAAAGAAATTATTAGTGTCATCTTTGTGGCGTCACACACGCGCGAGCTGAAAGTTTTTGTATGCAAATGTTCTTAATGTCACCTTTACAGTATGTAAATCATAGATAATACCTTTAAACCAGAGATAGATGTGCCACTCATATTTCAGTTTTTGAAATAGTGTACCCTGCACGCTAGATGACGCTGTAGACTTTAGTAAAACGCGTCTTGCGGTAGGTATCGCTAGATGGCGTATTTTATGCAATAACTATGCTGATTATTTACGAAATGTACAATTTTATTATCAATGTTTATGTTATTTACTAGATAATTATTGGATATAAAAGTAAGGTTACAAAAAAAGCACCGCACCACCGAGCACGTGGTAAATCACCAGATTTCCAATCGATCAATTTCATTGATGGCGGCGGGGATCGAACCACGGATACATGTGTGCTGTGGAATTTACAGTGAGAACTATCCAATTGAGCTACCTCCGATCTTTTCACTTCGACAAAAATGTCTAATTATTGGATATCTCCAATAATAATCCCAAATCTCCAAAAGGAAATTTTGTAGATAACACTAACACTAATAAAACTTGGCCTATTTCACATAAGATTTTTTTTAAATATATATAAAAGGCGAAGAAAACGTCGAAAAAATTTATAAATAATCATAAGATATCTTATTATGATTTTCACAGGATAGGAATGCAAAGTCGCAAAATATTTTCGTTTTGTGAGTCATTGTATTTTTAATATTCTTTATTTGTTCTTCAATCAATTCAGTTTGAATTATTAAACAATCTTCATCCATGAATGAACACAACACCGATGGATATTCACTGGACCTTTTAATAGTCTCTTCTCTTTCTAAAATATAATTGAGTAGTTATATAGTATATACTGTAGTATCTTACACATGTCATTTCTTATATATTTTATGCACTTATGAACTAAATACTCAGTAATATAACTTTTAATTAAATTTTAATTAAATTTGAAAGAACTGTGAACGAATTTTATTAAAAATTGCTATGATGAATTGTCAATTCAAACTTTTTGTTGTTGTGGATTCTGGATCATTAGGTAATAACCCCAGTTTTATCTAACGAACGCCATCTTTACTACGCTTAAGAAAACTATCCTACAAGTTTATGTACCCCGCTCACTGGAGGTCAGAACTTTCTATGCATATTTTATTCTTGTGAATTTGTATGGAAGTTTCATCCCCCTGGTGTAAATCTCTTTGGATA